TGATGCTAGGAAAGATTGAGCGTGAGAGAAGAAGGGGACAACAGAGGATGAGATGGTTAGATGGCATCACCGACTCAGTAGATGTGGGTTTGGTTAAACCCTGGGAGTTGGTGATGGACAGGGAGGCCTGGAGTGCTGCGATTCATGGGGTCGCAAAGAGTCAGACACGACTGAGCGACTGAACTGAAACAGCGAGTTAATCTAATACTCAAAACATGAGTAAAAAGAAAACTGGTAGAAAATGGAGAGAGCCCAAAAAACTTTGATTCTAAGGCAATTGGTGTAAAAGTGAAAATTTAGGCAGATGTCAGATGTCAAAGCCCACTATGTGGAGTCTAGCTCTCCAGAAGCAGGACCCAGGAGGTGAGTGAGGTTCGTTGTAAGGGATCTGTGGAGAGACAGGAAGACCGGACCCTCAAGAGCACAGCCAAGCCTCGTGGAGACGGAACTGTCTTGGGGCCCAGACGACACTCTGCAGCAGGCTTTGGGCTTCACACCGAGCATCTCAGGTTTGTGTTGTCTCGGCAACTCCCTGCCTCTGTTTCTCCCACTTTGCTGCTATGGACCAATTCTGTATGACGCTTCTTGTTCAATAGCCCCTTTAAATAAGAATTCAGATTCTTATCGGTTTGCGCATCACATGTAGCACAGGCTGCCTCTGTTTGACAGAGCTTTTGAAATAGGCATTGCATAGCCCACTGACAGGCCTGACCACTGGCCTGTCTGGTCGGGAACCCCCCCTCGGACCAGGGGGACTGGCCTGCGGGACAGGCTACATGGCCGACTTTTCTAGATGAACTGTGGACAGTGACAGACACTCAGAGTGTGATCATTTGTCTGTCTGTTTGCCCTGAACTGCTAAAAACCATTTGTCATGCAGGGTTGGGGAAAGGGAAGCTCATTTGATTGTTGAATGCCAGATTCTGGAGGGGTGAAGAGCAAAGCTTGTTCTGTTTTTCCACAAAATGTATTTAATGTCTCTCACTGCTTCCATCTTCCTGTCTAGTTCAGCCATACTGGGCTTCTGTCTTTTTTTATACCTATCTCCTCTCTAACCTACAAATACATTCCTCTGTGTGGAACACTTTGTACACCCTCTTTAGTAGGCTAAAACACCTACTCATTCTTCAGTAAAGTTTCTTCAGACTCCCAGCCTAGGTCCAGTCTCCACTGTGATAAGCTCCAGTAGTATCTTGTACTTCTTCTTTCATGATATTCCCGTTTATCATTATCTGTTTACTACCTGTCTCTCCCGTTGACAGGGGCTCAGGGAGGGCAGGCGTTTCTGTCTTGTCACCGGTGTCTTCTCCACTTCTGGTCCAGTGCCTGACACTTAGTGGAACTTCATAAATATTCGCAGAACAAATGAGTTTTTGTTATCATGCCATCTGTTCAGAATGTTTTCCATTTAAGAAAAAGATATGAGCCCCAACAATCTCAGTGTTAAGCAGAACCAAAATAAAATGTTTTCAGAGTTGCGCTAGCAACTCCAGAAAAATTGGGCTTCCGTTGGGGTGGACGGGCAGATTTCCACCGATGTCCTTGGGAAATGACGCAGGAAGGTAACCCACAGGCAGAGGGGAGGGCCCCGGGGCCTGTGACGGATCAGGTGACAGCCGAGTGGGGATGGGGGCAGGGGTGACGCTCCTTGCCCCACACCATCCACCGCTGGCACCCCGCGCCTCACCCCCAAGCCTGCCTCAGAGGAGCCGCTCCAAGGACACCCTGGAACAGCAAACATGGGATTTTGTTTGCAGACTTGGCTGAGCAACAAGGCCTCTCCCTGACCTTCTCCCCGCACAGTCATAAAGGGAAAGGGCCTGTGTAAAGTGCAATTGCCGGAGGCCCCCTCCATATCGTCGCCCTTTAGAGGGAGCAGCTCAGCTGGGCCTTGCCTCCAGGGAGGGGCAAGGACACTCCCCAGAGCCCGGCCCTCGGCACTTTACCCCAGGGCAGGTACCTTCCCCGGAGTGAGGGCCAGGCCAGCTGGGTCACTCGGAGTCCCTCCCCGGCCAGGGGCTGGGCTGGGCAGCAGGTGCCTTTGTTGAAGGAGCCAGGTACCCGCCAGTTATCGTAGCTGATGGAAAGCTGTTTGGAGGATGTGCAGAGAGTGAAGGAAGGCCACACAGCCAGCCTGCGAAGCCCCCAAGGACACCATCCAGGATAGAAGAGCACTTCCCACGCCCCTCCCCACCCCATCTCACCCGGCGTTTCCGAGCTCTTCTCTGGGATTATCAGACCCGATAATCATGGTTTCTCCACCGTGAAGATGACGCAGCTTTTCGCTATCTCCACTCCTGTTACTTCTCTGCCTGGAGCTTCTGTGGCCTTGTCTCTGTGGCTCTTTTGTTGGATCCCATCCTACTATCAGCTTCCCTCCCCGTGTCTCCCAGTGGGGCCTGACGGGGTCAGCCTGTCACCAAGACTTTCATGCCAGACCCCCTCCAAGGCCATTGGCCCAGCAGTGGGAAGCTGCCCCTGAATTAGGGACTCATTCCTGGCTTAATCAATTATAACTGGAGCCACACGTGCAGAACCGGTAAACCATTCATTCATTGGACACATGGGGCACATCTTCTATGCCAGGCTATGTCTTCGCATGCAAACTACAGCAATGAGATAAAATCCACACAAGCCTCTGTCCTCATGAAACTCACATTCTACTGGCGGCCGGGAGGACTGGCAAGAAGCAGAAAGGAAAACGTAGGATAGACGTTGATTCACATGATGGAGAAAACAAAGCAAGATTGGGGTACGGGGAGTGAGTGAAACAGGGGTGTGTGCCTCTTTCAGATGAGGTGTTTGGGAAGGTCGCCGTGGGGGACTGGCGTCTGAGTCATTAATGACACAAAGAAAGTGAGAATTCTGGGAAGGAACACTCACAGGGCCGTGGCAGACACAAGTCCCCTGGAGACACGGCTGTGACGCTCATAGTGACACGGTCAGCACCTAGAATCACAGGGAAGCAGGGTGCTCTGGGGCCTCACAGATGAGAAAGGCACAACCGCCATAACTTTATCATACAGTGCAATGTATGATGCTTGACTGAGTCTGGGAAGGACCGGAGCACAAGGGGTGTTTCAAACGGGAACCTGAGTGCTGGCACCCACGCTCCGTCTGCAGCTGTCTCTGCCCCAAAGCCCCCCCACGGAAGCAAGGATGCTCTGGACTTCCAATTAGGGACGCTCTGATTCAATGGGCCTTAACGTCTAGGGACCGTCAGAATCACCTGGGCTGCTTGTTAAGTCACGCAGATCCCAGGGCCCATTCCCAGTGGTTCTGATCCAGTAGGTTCAGGTGTGGGGCCCAGTGATTACACTTCTAACACTTCCCCCACCCCGTGATCCTTATGCTCCTGGTACACATTCCACACTCCGAGCAGCGTGGCTTTCGTTGGCACTCTCATTAAACTAACCCTTAGCCCCAGCTTTGCTCTTCCGTCTGAAATGACCTGCCTCCTCTTCTGTTTTTCCTTCCAAGCCCAGCTGGGGGCCACTTCCTGGAGGAAGCCTTCCCTGACTTCCAAGGCAAAGCCCTTGGTGCCCTCCTCTGAGTGTTTTCCCCTTAGATTTTTATCACGTCTAATTACTGCACTCACATCTATCTGCCTTTTGGATCATAAGCACCCGAGGACAACTTCTCCAGTTCCTGCTACCAGGTATGTGTTCAGCAAAGCTTTCTGAAGTCCCGTCTTAGCCTGCGAAGCCCCCAAGGACACCATCCAGGATAGAAGAGCACTTCCCACGCCCCTCCCCACCCCATCTCACCCGGCGTTTCCGAGCTCTTCTCTGGGATTATCAGACCCGATAATCATGGTTTCTCCACCGTGAAGATGACGCAGCTTTTCGCTATCTCCACTCCTGTTACTTCTCTGCCTGGAGCTTCTGTGGCCTTGTCTCTGTGGCTCTTTTGTTGGATCCCATCCTACTATCAGCTTCCCTCCCCGTGTCTCCCAGTGGGGCCTGACGGGGTCAGCCTGTCACCAAGACTTTCATGCCAGACCCCCTCCAAGGCCATTGGCCCAGCAGTGGGAAGCTGCCCCTGAATTAGGGACTCATTCCTGGCTTAATCAATTATAACTGGAGCCACACGTGCAGAACCGGTAAACCATTCATTCATTGGACACATGGGGCACATCTTCTATGCCAGGCTATGTCTTCGCATGCAAACTACAGCAATGAGATAAAATCCACACAAGCCTCTGTCCTCATGAAACTCACATTCTACTGGCGGCCGGGAGGACTGGCAAGAAGCAGAAAGGAAAACGTAGGATAGACGTTGATTCACATGATGGAGAAAACAAAGCAAGATTGGGGTACGGGGAGTGAGTGAAACAGGGGTGTGTGCCTCTTTCAGATGAGGTGTTTGGGAAGGTCGCCGTGGGGGACTGGCGTCTGAGTCATTAATGACACAAAGAAAGTGAGAATTCTGGGAAGGAACACTCACAGGGCCGTGGCAGACACAAGTCCCCTGGAGACACGGCTGTGACGCTCATAGTGACACGGTCAGCACCTAGAATCACAGGGAAGCAGGGTGCTCTGGGGCCTCACAGATGAGAAAGGCACAACCGCCATAACTTTATCATACAGTGCAATGTATGATGCTTGACTGAGTCTGGGAAGGACCGGAGCACAAGGGGTGTTTCAAACGGGAACCTGAGTGCTGGCACCCACGCTCCGTCTGCAGCTGTCTCTGCCCCAAAGCCCCCCCACGGAAGCAAGGATGCTCTGGACTTCCAATTAGGGACGCTCTGATTCAATGGGCCTTAACGTCTAGGGACCGTCAGAATCACCTGGGCTGCTTGTTAAGTCACGCAGATCCCAGGGCCCATTCCCAGTGGTTCTGATCCAGTAGGTTCAGGTGTGGGGCCCAGTGATTACACTTCTAACACTTCCCCCACCCCGTGATCCTTATGCTCCTGGTACACATTCCACACTCCGAGCAGCGCAGCTTTCGTTGGCACTCTCATTAAACTAACCCTCAGCCCCAGCTTTGCTCTTCCGTCTGAAATGACCTGCCTCCTCTTCTGTTTTTCCTTCCAAGCCCAGCTGGGGGCCACTTCCTGGAGGAAGCCTTCCCTGACTTCCAAGGCAAAGCCCTTGGTGCCCTCCTCTGAGTGTTTTCCCCTTAGATTTTTATCACGTCTAATTACTGCACTCACATCTATCTGCCTTTTGGATCATAAGCACCCGAGGACAACTTCTCCAGTTCCTGCTACCAGGTATGTGTTCAGCAAAGCTTTCTGAAGTCCCGTCTTGTTTTTCCCTGATGTTTGTGAAAAGGAAGGTCGTATGGGGAAAGAATTCCAGCTCGCCCCCCACCCCTGGGCCGCCCTCACCACCGAAACCCCATTTCACCCGAAGTCCTGCTTTCCCCTGAACTTCCTGGTTCCAGCCAGTCCAGGCCCACTGATGTAATGACATCTGGCCATTAAGGAAGTTGAAATTCTTTCTCTGACAAGTGTGGTTTGAAGTTTTTAGAGAGCTGTTTTATTACGAGTCAAACACACACAATCAAGCACCAGCGTGGCAAAGCACGCACAGCTTGGCCGGAGGATCGGGAGACTCAAAGGGCAGAGAACTGGCCCCTTCATGTGTCAAAGGATGGACCTGGATAAAAGGATTGCTCAGGTCCTCTCCAGCTCTGAAATTCCAGGATTACAGAATCTTGAGTCCAGTTAGATGCTAAACAAAGACACCCAGATTCTTAGCATGAGTGTGCCAAGTCTGGTGGGAAATTTGTCCTTCTTACAAGCTGTTGCCTAGTTTTATCTCTGCATGTGGAGTCATAAGAACTCCCTAAATATTCCACATGTGTAACAGACTGAGGCAGCTGCAGGAGCAAGCTGCGGAACTAAATTGTAACATAGAGACAGGTACATAGACTAGGGTTTGAATCTTAGCATCACTACCGTGTGACTTTCAGCAAATTCTTTAACTTCTCTGAGCCTTGGTTTCCTCATCTGTAAAATGAGAGCAAAAACAGTCTCTACGTGATAGAATTACTACAGAAATGAAGAGATAATAATTAACAGCAAGGTTTACAAAGAGGCTAGTTCAGCAGGTATTAGCTTTCAGGGGCTTCCTCTGGACCATTTCAGTCCATCTCTGCTGCCAACCTAGCCCCTGAATGAGGAAAACATTGTGTACTCTGAGCTCCAAAGTCCTTCTGATGAGCTCTGGTTTCCCCTCACGGCCTTGCTGGGTCACTTATTCATCCAGCCCATATCTATGGTTGTTGTTGTTGTTTAGTCGCTTGGCGTGTCCGACTCTTTTCAACCCCATGGACTGCAGCGCACCAGGCTTCCCTGTCCATCACCAACTCCTAGAACTTGCTCAAATTCATGTCCATTGAGTCGGTGATGCCATCCAACAATCTCATCCTTTGTTATCCCCTTCTCCTTCCTGACTTCAATCTTTCCCAGCATCAGGGTCTTTTCAAATGAGTCAGTTCTTCACATCAGGTGGCCAAAGTATTGGAGCTTCAGCATCAGCATCAGTCCTTCCAATGAATATTCAGGGTTGATTTCCTTTAGGATTGTCTGGTTTGATCTCCTTGCAGTCCAAGAGACTATCAAGGGTCTTCTTCAACACCACAGTTCAAAAGCATCAATTCTTTGGTGTTCAGCCTTCATTATGGTCCAACTCTTATAACCATACATGACTACTGGAAAAACCATGGCTTTGACTAGACAGACCTTTGTCAGCAAAGTAACCTTTATGCTTCTTAATACATTGTCTCAGTTGGTCATAGCTTTTCTTCCAAGGAGCAAGTGTCTTTTAATTTCATGGCTGCAGTTACCATCTGCAGTGATTTTGGAGCCCAAGTTTTATCCAAATGCCAGGTATGGGATGAAGAATAGATACTGATGGATAAGACACTGTCCCTATCCTCAAGGAGAAGGTGCTTTCTGTAGTTCATGATATAAAAAAATCAATAATTATCACGTGGTGAGTAAATGCTATCAGGGTCCAAGCACATAGGAGCATTCAGAGGAGAATTCCTGGGCCAGGTGACGCTGCGCTGGAGGGTCAGGAGAACTGGCCCAGTTGGCTGGTGGGAGGGATAAGGATTCTGGGGGGAGGGGGTCAGTAGTCCGGAGAAGTGAGCAGGACCATATCACCAAAATCTGTGTCCTTCCACGTCTGTTAGTCTTCAACTGAGGATTTAGCAGAGGCATTGCATGGTTTAAGCAAGGGAATGGCAGGATCGGCTTTCCGTTTATAAAGATCTCTCTTGCTGTCATGTAGAGAACCTGAGAGAGGGTGACAAAACTAGAAAAGGAGAAAACCATCCCGACAGCGCTGATCCGGCATGAGGATGGCTGAAGGTGGTGACAGAGGAGAGATGTGGTGTTTGAGAGGCATTTATAGGGTGCCATCTACAACGAGGCGATGAATTGGATGACAAAGTGACTGAGAGGGAGGGGCCAAAAATGATGCCGAAATTTCTGCCCTGGCCATCCAGACGAATGCTATCATTACTGAGATGGTGAACACAGGGGAGAAGATTAGGGGTAGGCTGAGGGATGAAATCAGTTTTAGCAGATTTAGGCCGTGTGAAGCTCAAGTATTGTTAAAGACAAGGCTCACCTAACCCTATGCACAGCACTGAGAAGGAACTGATAGAGGAAAAAGTTAAAGATGGTGAAGAAAAGGAGGCACTAATCACTGCTTCCAGAAAGCTCTAGAAGAGACCAGAAAGCATGCCACCTCAAGCACGGTGGGAGGATGAATCTTAGACAGGAGTGTGGCCCACCTCAGCTCTGGGGATGGGAGGAAGGAGGCAGCCACAGGTGTGCTCCAGGTCCCAGGGAGCCCTTCTCCTTGCCCAGAGGTCTCCGACCCATTCCGTTGAGCCTCACTGCTGCCCTCAGCCAGGCGGTGAATTGGTTCTACGAGTAGGACCAATAGTACTTCACCAACCGCTTTGAGCAAAGAGGTGGCCTTGCCTAAGTGACTCCGCGCTTCCGGTTTCTCATCTGTAAAATGGAGCTGGATGACATCAGAGGATGGTCTCGAGGATGGGACAAAACTGTGTGTGGATGTGCTCAGGGGCTCGGAATAGTGCCCGGCCCGTGGATGCTCTTCTCAATGGAACCCGCTCCTCCCAGGCTCCGGATGCCTGCTGACAGCCCCAGGGTTTAACCTGGGGTGCGCCAGACCTCCTCCTGGTCAGACTGGCCTCCTGTTTCCACCCCTCCCCTCTCTCTGTTACATCCCATTTCCAATTTTTAGTTCATTTGAAAAATCAAAGATAATAAAGAAGCTGTGAGTTGGAAATTCTCCAAGCTGCCTAGCACTTAGAAAAAAATCCTGGCCAATAATCAGAATCTGTGGAATTTAGGGATTTAGGGCCGTGCAATTTTTGTTTTGAACACTGGTCTGATGAGAAGAGCACAGAATCTGTAGTGAGTGAAACTACATTTTGGGATTCAACTGGTAGCTAAGCTGGTGAAGAATCTGCCTGCAATGCAGGAGACCGCAATTCGATTCCTGGATCAGAAAGATCCCCTGGAGAAGGGATAGGCTACCCACTCCAGTATTCTTGGGCTTCCCTGGTGGCTTGGCTGGTAAAGAATCTGCCTGAAATGTGGGAGACCTTAGTCCTGGCTTTGTATTTAACCAGGCAGACTTGGGGCACCTCTCTGAGCTTTCATTTCTTCTTCTATTAAACCTCTTCATAGAGTTACTGTACAGAGCAAATAAGCTACATCAGGCAATGCCTTCGGAGAGCAGTCCAGTGCTGTGTGGGCGTCTAGGACGGTCTCCGTGTCTGAACATGGAGCTGCCAGCCAGGGTAGAATCTGACGACTGAGTCCTCAGAAGCCCCCAGGGAGATGGTTTTCCTGACTCTGCCATCATAACAGCTACACTTGATGAACAATAATGTTGTTTGTTTTTAAACGTGTTTATTTTTGGCTGCACCGAGTCTTCTTGGCTCTGCACAGGCTTTCTCTCACCACGGCGAGCGGGGATTACTCTTTCTTGCGGTGCACGGGCTTTCCACTGTGATGGCTTCTCTTGTGGAGCACAGGCTCTAGGGTGTGTGGGCTTCAATAGTCACAGCTCACCAGTTTAGTTGCCCCAAGGCGTGTGGAATCTTCCCAGGCCAGGGATCAAACCCACATGCCCTGCAGAGGTGGGCAGATTCTGAACCACTGGACACCAGGGAAGTCCAACAAGAATGTTCTAAACGTATATCATTATTTTTCTACCATATATTAGTAGTAATGTTATTATTACTAGTAATGGCTCCTGTTTGTTGAGCATTCACGGTGCGCCACCCACCTTGCTAGGGTTTACCATACATTATCATATTTAATCCTCTCTATGGCCTCCTGAGCTGATACTGTTATTATCCCCTGTGAACAGTGAGAAAACTGATACTTAGGCTGAAATTACTCACAGTTAGTCCAGGGTGGAACCACAGTTTGCATTTTAACCACCACCCTTGCTACCTCCCAACCGAGTGCCTGATGGACCTTTCCCTTGCCCAGCTCGTGTTCTATCTCGCCCCTACCAAAAAAAACTAAACCACGTGCATCCTTCCATACATTTGATTCTTAAACAGAAGTATTTTGGTTAGGGAGGGGGGATGGTTTGCTTTTTTGCATCATCTGATTCCCGGGAGATTTCGGGGAGAGGAGTAGGGCAGGAGGGTCTCACTGCATTCTCCGGACCACCCCACACAGACCCCCTGCCCCAAGTCTGCCTGCCCAGCAGAGCCCCTTCAGCTTCCTGCCTCCATCTGCAGGGCCAGAGACAGCCCTGCTCCCAGACTGAGAGAACTTCCCTGGAAATCAAGCCTCTGGGTTGAGTGAGCAATGTCATCTTTCGTAGCTGCAAAATTTCTTAACACCACTCCCCGCTGCACACACTTCATAGGGGAAGCAAACTATCTTAACAGTGGAGCTCATGCGGGAGAAGAGATGGGATGTGACCAATTACCTGGACTTTGCACTGCCCCATTTTGAACCTGTCCACTTAAATCTCTTTTTACTGATAAGCTCAAGCTCTAAAATGAGCCGCCCCAATGGCCTGCTTCCAGCGAAGCAGAAGGTGGGGAGAGCTGGGCCACAGGGCACTGCGACAGTGGGGCAGCTGCCAGCGGAAGGCTGCTCGACATTGACCTCAAGGCTTAACCCGCTCCGCCCTGATGCCGGGTGCGCTGGGAGCCACGGGGCCTGCTCTGGGGAGCACGGGCCCCCCGACCAGAGCCAGAGTCCTCGGGGATGGTTCTCCTGACTTGCCATGCCAGTGGATGTTGCTCCAGAAAATTCCCTTTATCCCTGAACACACTTTTTTTAAAGTTGGAAAGAGAAAAAACAAAGTTTTTAAAAAGTAGGTATACTCAATATCTTGTAATAATCCATAGTGGAAAAGAATCTGAAAAAGAATAGATATATCTATGTATACTTGATTCACTTTGCCATGCATCTGAAACATTGTAAATCAACTCTATTTCAACTTAAAAAGAGATTATTTCATTACTGAGGATGACATTTATTTTATTTAGTTTATTTTTTTGTGAAAATGTTTGTGTGTGTTCAGCCACGTGCAACTCTTTTTGCCACCGAATGAACTATAGCCCACCAGGATCCTCTGTTCGTGGAATTTTCTGGGTGAGAATACTGGAGTGGATTGACATTTCTTCCTCCAGGGGATCTTCCTGACCCAGGGGCTGAACTCTAATCTCCTGCTTAAAAATGTGGGCTGCGTATAAAAAGGAATAAAAGTAATTAGAAAAGTCTCTTAGGGCAGGTAAATGCATAATTTTCTTAGATGCAAATTAGGATGCATTGTACAAAAAGCAGGTTCATCTGTGTATGTGTCCTTATAGCACCTGGGTAAGAACGTGGCCTGCACTGTCTCCTGTGAAGTGGATTTTCCTTCACAGATGATGGTGCAGGGACTTGTCCAAGGCTATAAGTCGCATAATTGCTATTCCAGACTTGCACTGTCTTGGCAAATATGGGAAAGGCTTGTGACTCTGGCAAGCATCTGCTTCTCCTGGGAAGTGTGCCCACAAGGAATGCCTAAAAACAGTGGAAACTGTCTATTTTCTTTACCTGAATTCATTCATTCACTTGTTCATTCAGCAAGCATGAATTAAGGGCTTATTCTGTGTCAGCATGTTCCAGGTGTTAGAAATAAGATATAGCGTCTGTCCAGCCAAGCACTAAATTGACATTGTATAGAAGGTAAAACATTGTAAATGCCAAATTTAGCAAAACCATTCTTGATGGATTTCATTTTCTCTTTGTCCTAAAAACTCATAGCACTGATATTTGCTAAAAAAATGCCATTCCTAAAGCTTCTGACTCTGTTTAGCAAACATTTTTATCACACCTTTCCAAAATTCATGCCTTCTTAACCCAGTTAGACTGCAAACTCTTTGACATCAGAGATACAGCACTTATCAGGCTCTCAGAATATATGCTCTGATGTCATGCAAATAATTTCTGACACCTAATAATTTCCCTATAGAATCAAAATGTTCATACTTAAGCAAATTATCAATTTTATTTTTAAGTGTTGAGTTGCACACTCTCAGTTTAACCTATCAACTTTAAATTTTCTTAGATGCAAATTAGGATGCATTGTACAAAAGCAGGTTCATCTGTGTATGTGTCCTTATAGCACCTGGGTAAGAACGTGGCCTGCACTGTCTCCTGTGAAGTGGATTTTCCTTCACAGATGATGGTGCAGGGACTTGTCCAAGGCTATAAGTCGCATAATTGCTATTCCAGACTTGCACTGTCTTGGCAAATATGGGAAAGGCTTGTGACTCTGGCAAGCATCTGCTTCTCCTGGGAAGTGTGCCCACAAGGAATGCCTAAAAACAGTGGAAACTGTCTATTTTCTTTACCTGAATTCATTCATTCACTTGTTCATTCAGCAAGCATGAATTAAGGGCTTATTCTGTGTCAGCATGTTCCAGGTGTTAGAAATAAGATATAGCGTCTGTCCAGCCAAGCACTAAATTGACATTGTATAGAAGGTAAAACATTGTAAATGCCAAATTTAGCAAAACCATTCTTGATGGATTTCATTTTCTCTTTGTCCTAAAAACTCATAGCACTGATATTTGCTAAAAAAATGCCATTCCTAAAGCTTCTGACTCTGTTTAGCAAACATTTTTATCACACCTTTCCAAAATTCATGCCTTCTTAACCCAGTTAGACTGCAAACTCTTTGACATCAGAGATACAGCACTTATCAGGCTCTCAGAATATATGCTCTGATGTCATGCAAATAATTTCTGACACCTAATAATTTCCCTATAGAATCAAAATGTTCATACTTAAGCAAATTATCAATTTTATTTTTAAGTGTTGAGTTGCACACTCTCAGTTTAACCTATCAACTTTTTTATCCCCCTTGGATCTAAATCTGGACTGTGAACCCATGCGTGTAGAGTGATAATACATTATATAATTTGAAATTAAGCTCTTTAAGTCTCCTGTTCCTATAAATCTAGAGAAATTTCCAGGGATACATTCGCTTTAAGAACTTGCTTCCCGACTTTTTTGTTTTCTCTCCACTTTCCCTCACAGTCTCCCACATGACAAAATGATTTTTCCAAGTTCACGCAGTGCCCTCTGGGCTGTGAACAAAGGCTAGGGGAGTCTGAGGGAGGTCATTGCCCCCTGCCTATTGTTCCTGAGAGTCCTCCGGCCCCTGCCATGTTCTCGTTTAAACATAAGACTTGTTAAGTACTTCCTAAAGCTAGAAGTTTGGAGAAGGAGAAGGAAAAGCTGTCGGAACTAAACCAGCTGCCAGTCTGATGATCATAGTACAGAGCCGATCCAGGGCCAGCTGGGGGGCCAGGGGAAAGGCGGGGCAAAACCGTAAGTTCAGGAACCCTCCTTCTCCCTGGGCTGCGGGAGCCCTGCCCTTCCTCACCTCGGCCACCCTCCAGCCAGGTGCGACCTTGGTGCTGCACCTGCCGGAGGAGAAGGAGGTGTTTGCTTCCCTACGCAGTGCCTGACATTTTGCCAGGAGGCCCGGGGCCCCACGGGCGTCACAGATGGCTCAGATGGGCTTGAGTGTTCTGTTCCCAGTCTAGGCTGGTTGGGAGGGAGGTTCCTTAGAGGGAACCTCTGGAGAGGGATGTGGGGGTGAGAAGCCTTCTCTCTTTTCTTGGGAAGGATGTAAACTGCTCCATCACCCTACTGTCTAATTACAGTGTTCCAATCTCGTGGTCCCGCTCTCAAGAAAAGACAGCAAACCCCTAGGCTGGCATGACCAGAAGCTCACCTGTACCCAAATCCCTCCACTTCGCCTATCCTCTGGCCTAAAATTCATACTACTCTCTCCAGTAGGTCCAGGAAAAAAGACCGAGGGAAAATGAAAGAGTGCTCTTGGAGAGTGAAAAGTGTAAGCCCTGGAGTGATGGGCCTGTAAGGCCGACCGGTTAGCTGACGCCACCTGGGCGAAGGCAGGCTTTGAGACACGAGCAGAATCAGCGGGGCGAGTCCAAAGGCAGAGGTGGGTCAGGAGGCCCCTTGGCACCAGTTGCTTGTGACATGGGAGCAGGAAGAAGGAAGCCAAGGAGGGGAAAGGAGGTGAGGCCGGAACAGGCAGGACGACATCTCTGGCTCAGCCAAGAGTTTGTGCCCCAAGGGAAGAGGCAGCGGCCTCGCACTGCTCCCAGCCCTTGGCTGCTACAGGGGAGTGTGGGCCTCACTGGCCAGATTCTTTTATTTTTGGAGAAGGGAGAAACCAACCAGCTTTTTTGTATGTCAGCAACTAATCTAATTATTTCTAAACTCTCATGGGCCTGCACAGTACAAGCTAAATGAAATATCTATGGGCCCCCTTCAGCTACCAAGAAAAATGAAGGAAGAGCCTGCCCAGGCCGTATTTGCTTCCGGGGCAGCTAAAAGCCCAGATTGCTAGCTCTAACACAGAGTATTTAAACAGCAAGAGGCCTTTATCAAACCCTTTGAGATCCACCCACAATAGTGTTAGCCTCTTTGCACCTCAGTTCCATAGCTTGACCTTGAAAACAGTTCAAAGTTCCATCCATTCTTTTCTCTTCTTCCAGCTCAAACAAAACTAAACCACTAGTCTTCCCTTGGAAACTTTGTCTACAGAGGCAGAGCTTAATTCTGGAGAAGACTTTGCCTCCATGTCATTAGTCAAGAAGGTTTCAGGTGGGTTCCTGAGCCAGCAATGTTTTGAACTTGGACAAAAGCCCTGAATGATCTTGGCACAGTATCTAGCCTATCTGATTTCCTTCTTTTCCTCCTTAAGAGAAACTATTATACTGGATGGGAGAAGGGGGCGGAGCACAAAACAAAGAGGGCCAGATCGCCCATCTTCCAGACGCCATGCACCTCAGTTTCCCCCTCCATGATGTTAGGGGATCAGGCTTCAGGCACTGGGTGCTAAGCGTCCCTAACATCACTCTCCTCTGCGGAACTCAGGCAGGCCCTCCGGCAACAATGTGAAATGGGTAACACTGGAGTTCTTCAAGCTTCATCCTACCTCCGGTTACCTGATGCCCTGGAGCTGAACTCTGGATGCCCCAGGACACTTGAGAAAGAATCCTGGTGTTTTACTAAGTGATATAGCAAGATATGAGTGCGCGCGTGTGTGTGTGTGTGTGTACGTGTGTATATGTGTGTGTGTGTTAGCGTATCTATATTTATAAAGCCAGAGAATATTATGAACATATGAACAACACTTACACCAAAAACTACATGAGAAATTTTTGCCCTTTTGTCTTTTCGTAAACGTTCAGAATGTACTAACCCCTGATTTTACAGATCACATCCAGGACTTCATGCTGAATGTCATTAAGTGTTCAGTGTTTGGAACTCCCAGCTCATCCTGACTTGGAAGCAAGTTTATTTATTCAGCATAAAAGGAAGTATTTGAACTCACAGAGTGTGATTCTCTGCAACTTTTAAAAGCAGCAAGACTGGACAGACAACTTTTAGGACAATAAGACATATTTCTCTGTTCTGAATATTTTTTGCTATCTTAACTAGACAATTCTAGCTATGTAGGAGCTCAACAATTAAAAGGATTTAGTTTTGGCTAATACAGGTAATAATTTAGATGAAAAAAGTGAGCCTTTTTTTTGCCTAAAATTCTGTCTGTTGTCTTCTCCATTCAACTGTTTAGTTTTTGAACCATTCTTTTGTGAAACTAAACACATAAACAACATTTTCATGAATATCACCATATCGCCTAGGTGAATAGAACAAACTCTCCCCAACCCACTCTTAGTTCTTTGCCTTGGTTTTTTAGATCTAGCTGGCCTTTTGGAGCAAAAGATTTGCATAAAAATCAGTGCAAAAGCAAAATAGAACTGTCCTTTGCTGACTGGCAGGCATAGAACATGGTTTCTATTCCTTTCTTTCTATCTCTCCTCAATGTTTAGCATGGTTTCCACCACAAAAGACATGTCAGAGAGATTATGCTTGAGAATTGACTGAGAGAGAAGTCCAGCCACTGCTTTAAGTACAGGGCTCAGGAGAATTAGAATCAAACAACAGGCAGGCTGACAGGTTGCCCACAAACTGAACCACCAGCTGGCCTAGCCCTGGGCACGTCCTTCCTGCCTCTGACCCAAGTTTCATTTGTTGTGATGGAGCTTCTTTCACAGAGACTCTTTTCAGGGCATGGTTTTGTCATGGTTCCCAACTCATCTTCCCCTCTCCAAGTGAACATGGGGCTCTCCCAGTCCCATCCTAAGAAGCTGGATGATTCTCCTGAAGTTCCCATCCTGACATCTTCTCCCCCAAGCAGCTAACCAAGTTGATCCTTTCTCTTTGGCTTCTTCTGTGATACTTACAGCGTTGCCTGCTGTCATTTAGAAGCTGCTAACGGAGAAGGACACAGCACAGTGAATTCCATCAAAGCGCTCCTCTCCCAAGCCACCAACTGGAAACCAGTATCACACGCTGCCCTGAGAGAGTATTTTGTTGATGCTACACTCATCTCAACACCTGCCATGATCCCGATGGGTTTGGGGCTGTTTTTTCTTTTTCTGTTACGAAGCATCACCTGTCATTCTCCTACCTTTATTTATGCAGCTTGTGTTTTTCCTGACCCCTCCTTGCTTTTGCCCTAGTCCCTAGACAGTGGAGCGATCAGAACGTTAACTTTTGTGCCCTATTGCCATTCTTGGAGCCCCTGCACAGTGACCTGCTGTGACCACATGGCTTTTTCCAGGCTCCTGTCTGTGATGGGCAGCTCTCAGGAAGGAAAAATGCATAATTTCATTTTGTTTCATGAGACTATTGCTGGCAGTTGAACTGGTTGGCTGGTTGGAATGAATGACCTTGCATTGAAAGCCATTGTGTTTTTCCTTCTCAGAGACATCACAGTGGCCCACCTGCCCTCTGAATTCTATGCTAATATTATACTTTGGTGATGCTGCTGCTCTTGGGGGAGAGAGGTTGCAATGCGTGCACTTACTACTTTACATAGAGGTCTACTGCCAAGGTTTAACTCTGCCAAAACCAGGTGCTGTTTAAAGTGAGATCATTTGTCAGATATGGGGTTTTCCTTAAGTCTCCCTTCACTGTAGGGTTTGTTGGCATCAAAGACTCAGGAAGGGGCAGGAAATTGATTTTAGGACCCCAGTTTGAGGGAGGCAAGTGATGAGGATGCACAAACACATTAATTTTGGATTAACTTTTGAAATTAATCATCCACACATAAATATGGCACTTATTTATCAGGACTGCCCAGGTGGAGCTGTGGTAAAGTATCCACCTGCCAATGTAGGAGACTCAAGAAACATGGGTTCGATCCCTGGGTCCGGTAGATCCCCTGGAAAAGGAAATGGCAACCCACATCAGTATTCTTACCTGGAAAATTCCTTGGTAGGGCTACAGTCACGAGAGTCAGACACGACTGAACACAGCTCTATCTATCTATTATATGCAAGTACCGTGTATATAAGCAGTGAAAAAAATTGAAGAGCTGTTAAACTAGAACAACAGATGATTTGTTTTTAGGAGCCACAAGTCATAGAGACCCAAAAACTCTTTGAGAAATAAATGAAAATTACCTGGACATAGTAGTTTTATATATCAGTTCTCCTTTTTCCTTTCTCCTTTTTAAAAAAAATGTTCTAAAATAGAACCATCATCGGGGGCACCAATGAAGCCTGATAGAGGCATCACAGGAGAGGAATCAATGCCAGCGCCCTCCTGGTGTGAGAATACAGAGGAGGAGGAGAGGGGAAGTGTGACCTCTTGCCTTTGTGGGCTCTTGGCCACCATATCCTGGGGATTTTTTTAAGGGACTGAACAACTCAATCAAGGGAAGTTAACAAGAGTCAAATTCCAAAACCTAATTTTTGAGGCCAAATACTATAAAACTGCTTAAAACCCTGCCATAGAATGGATACCCCGGCTTAGCTGGATGAAATCTATATTATCATAGAGAAGCACTAAATAGAAGAACTAGAAAAAATTCCTATTAATGTTAAAATAGAATGAAAACTGAAAAAGTCATTTAGATTTTAAAGTGGTATTTGTAAATTTGTTTACAAACCAATTAATGTAAAAGTTACAAAATTAAAATGAGCTCAGAGCTTCTGGCCCATGAGAAGTTTACCATCCTAGGTACATGTTTGGTAATGTTGGGATGGATTTTCACGAGAATTTGGGCTAGATTTTCAAAAATTTTGTCATCAAAGGTTTTGTTGGTTATTGAAAAGGGCTCTTCACCTAATGGACAGATCTTTCTCTATAGCATTTCTAGCTAGACAGCTAACTGCTTTCTTTCTTTTTTGCAAAGTACCTCACGTAATTTCAAGGAAACATTATTTTAGGACTCAAGTTTATACTAATTAACAGATATTCTGAGAAGATATAAACTCCAGACATTCAGAAGAGCTTAATTTGCCACATTTAAAAAAGACACTTGAAGTTAACATTATAGTTTGCAGAAGATAAATTCCTAACTCTGTCTATTTTGTTTAATTTTGCTGCTAAGAATGTCCTAATTCTTTCAAGTGTCTGTAGAATTCACTCTTAAAGTAAAAACAATTTAAATTCACCTCAAGATAATTTAAATAAACACCACTAGAGTGTGTATAACACTTGGAGTGGGGAGAAGGGCTGAGGGCTTCGTGAAACCTAATGCTAAACATTCAGAGTTTAAAATGACAGAACATTAGGCAGTGTTTTTTGTCTTGCCTTCCCTCCCCTCCCCCACTGGACCTTGCAGCTGATCAGCGGGAGGTTCCTGCCTTAAGCTTCAACTCTGCCTATGTGATCTTCGTTCATAGTAAATTCTCCCAAAACTATAGATGAAATCTGGTTAAATAACTGTGACACTCCAACATGCTTGTAGACATTTTAGAGAAATGAAAAAAGCTGCCTTGAACTGAATGTGTCCTTCCCGTCCAATACTCCAGATTCATTAGTTGGAGCCCAATGTGATGGTGTGGTGATATTTGGAGGTGGGACCTTTAAAAGAGGAAATTCATGCCCATGCTCAGTCAGGTCTGACTCAGTGAGCCTGCCAGACTACACTGTCCATGGGATTTTCCAGCCAAGAATCCTGGAGTGAGTTGCCACTTCCTACTCCAGGGGATCTTCCCAACACAGGGATCCAACCCGCATCTCTTGAGTCTCCTGAACTGGCAGACAGATTCTTTACCACTGAGCAACCTGGAAGCAAGGAGGAAATTAGAGTTAAATTAGGTGGGGCTCTCATCATGGGAACAGTGACAGACTTTATTTTCTTGGGCTCCAAAATTACTGCAGATGATGACTACAGCCATGAAATTAAAAGACACTTGCTCCTTGGAAGAAAAACTATGACAAATCTAGACAGCATGNTTGAATTTCCCAGCCTCTAGAAGCGTGAGAAACAAACGTTTGTTGTTTAAACCTCCTAGTCTATGGTATTTTGTTATAGCAGCCAGAGCCAACTGATTTCAGAAGCCTTCCCCAGCCAGCTGGTTTTACTGACACGGCTTAGAAACTGTAGAGATCATATGATAATCTTTATGTGTAGTAGGCAGACCCTATTTGGTGATGTCAGCACTTGCCCAGAACCAAATAGATTTCTACTGTGATTGTCTTTTTTGAACACCTACTGTAAGTTAGACAAAGGTCAAATTCCACCTCCATGAAAGCTCTCAAATTTTAGACTGTCAAAGCCTCTAAGGAAAAAAAAAAAATCCTAGCTTGGAATTAAACACCTGGAAAATTAGCAGACTTTCAACAGCTATAACTTTCCACACCACTATCTTCAGCCTCCCAGGGTTACTTCTTTCATTTACTATTTGGGAACTAAAGTTGAAATCTGCATTTCCCAAGTGCTAACTTTTTTTTTTAGTCAAGACAATAGAAACATAAGTAGTGACTAGAGTAGCATTTGCTTAAGGCTTAAAGGAGAGTACAAATAAAGATATTTGATATAGGAATTTAGAAGAGGGGGAAAAAAATGAAGTTAAATTGAAAGAAGGAAAAAAACTGATGCAGGACTAGTCATCGATACAGCCCAGGTGAGGGATTGCACCAGAGTGGAGTGGTAGCGGTGACTATGTGAATTAAAAAAAAAAAAATGAAGATGCATTAATAAGCAAGAGAGATATTCACACACACAAAACATCACATCTTAGTGGCTAACTGGATACTGAGGTGTGATCCTGGAGAAATCCAAAATGATGGAGATCAAAACTTCAAAAATCGAAGTGACTGGAAATGTTTGTATTAACAGAGGATGGCAGTCCAGAAAAGACCCATTGGTAGGTGGGGGGAGCTGTGGAATTGGTCAGTTCTGATTTTTACCTGTTGAGCTTGAGGTGACAGTTGTATTTATAGCATGACAAAAGGCAGGCGCTGGTGATGTCTGCCTTTCTTGCTATGGTGCTCCTTGGTTCTCTGCTGGTTTTCACACTCACCCTCACACTGACTCGATCCAGATGTGAAGTTAACTCTTAACAAGCTGAGTAACTGCGCTTTTGCAGCCGGTTGACTAATCCCCCCCACCCTCCTCAAAAACTTTAAAGTGGAGGGGGCCCCACCAAAATATTTAAG